AAACAGTAACCTGTTATTTCAAAGCTAGCTATGAGACATTAGGAAAAACAAGGAAACAGATGAAAGAGCACAGAGAAGGGATGAGGAGTTATTACTCCCTGAGTACTGTACAGAGTTTCTGTTTGGGATGATGAGAAAGTTCCGGAGATGGAGAGTGGTAACGGTTGAACAACATGGAGAGTCTATGTAATGCCACTGAATTGTACACTTAGACATGGTTACAATGGCAAATGTAGCATATTTACCACATTAAAAGAAGATGAAAAAGCAATACAAATAGAATTTACAGTATAGATAAACTTCAGACAGATAAAAGTAAAAACTTTCAGAAATAACACTAAAAACGAATACCGACCCCCAGGGGGCTCTAGGTGGCTGGATGAGATTCTGCCCAACCTCCTCCATAGAATGAAATCGGTCAACAGACTGTTTCGCACTTCAATAGGTTATCCATGGATGAAACACCTGAAATCCAACAGAGAATGACAGGAACCCAATATCAGGGAATGGAGAAGAGGAGGAAGCTGCTTCGGCGCAGACAGTTGGAGCGGGGACCCGCAGCACCCGCGCAGGAAGGGACATGGAGACTTCCATGGCATATCCCATGTGAGTCATGCCATCCTGGTAGGGACAGCCGACCCTCCTAAGCGCTGGAAAACTAATAAAGAACGCAAGAGACTTGGTGAAAAAGCTCACAGTCACACCTCTGAATCGTAAACAGTATAGCAAGCCTCAAACTACGCCTTTGCAAAGTACACCCTGACCTGGGGCCTAGTGGGACCGGACGAGCTATAAGCTAAAGCAGTTGCGCTGGATTGGAGCAGCAGGCTGGATGTCCTCTTACAGCTGGGGATAAGAAATGAGTGAGGTGTGAGTTGTAGGTGCCTGGGCCAAGAAGTGAGAGCAAGCAGGGTGTAAGGTGCCACAGGGCCTTGGTCATGAGCTGGGCAGGGGCTCCTGCACCTGCGGATGGCTGAGAGGTGAGCCCCACCAGGACTGACGTGTGAAGGGGACACATGTTCCCCACCCACCAGCTCAGGCTTTGGCCACTAAGCTGGGCCCCACCCTCTCCACTGCCAAAGCCTGAGTGTAGCTGCTACTGCCCCTCACCAAGTGCTCCTCCAGGGGCCTGGGTATTGCCCCTCCCCGTCCTCCACGTGGGAAGTGGGATACAGTGCGCATACATACAATAAGATAGAAGGAATACATTCGGTGTGTGCTGGCAGAGTAAGGTGGCCATACTTAACAAAAATACAGTGTACTTGTGTGTTGGACACCCTAAATACTCTGACTCTATCACTACGCATTATATAGACATAACAAAATTTCACATGTACCCCATAAATTTGTATAAAAAAGAGAACACACAGGTGAGTGAACAGAATGGATAATGCCTTGAAAAAAACAAAACAAGGAAGAAATTTTTAAAATTCAAAACAAGATGATATTCAACAATATGAGTCTCTTCTGCTTTAAAACAAAACAAAACAAAACAAAACAAGATGATAGAAAGGATTCCAAAGAAATGACACACATAAAAGATAGGCCAAAAAAAAAATAATAAAATCAGGATAGTTCTGAAAAGAGTAATGCAAATGCACGCAGGAATTCAGTATACCACAAAAGTGACATTTCAACACAGTGGGACAAAGTGTTCAATAAACTGTGATACATACACATAAGGGTATAAATACATAATTTCTGTGGAAGGATGATGAATTTCCATGGAACACCATTTTGTGTCTTTGTAATGTTTTATTATGTGAATCTATCACCTCTGAAGTCCAAATGCCTGAGTTTAACTCCCAGCTCCCCATTTGCTAGCTCTTTATCTTGGGCCAGTTCTCGCCAGTCCCTATCTCCTTACCTGTGAAATGGGATGAATAA